TAATGTAGCACATTCAGCACCAGGTCCAAGGCTAAAAGATGGTTTCCCAAACCTAGAAGGGGCGGGGGCTCTGCGAGCACAAGGAAGAGAAAGGGGGCATCTCCTCAGCAACCTGGGCTGTGCCATATTGAGGAGCTGTTAAGCAGATTCCAGGTTAGAAGAGACAGAGGTGCCACAGCCCCCAGGACCAGGGATGTGATGGGAAGTTCCTGCGGACCCTAATTTTACTGTCCATCTAGATTATTTTCTTATCCAAATGTGTGAGCACTGTTAACTTCACTCATGCAGTGTCTCCCTGGATTTTGCAAATCATTTTTTGTTTCTTTTGTTAAATGTAATCTTTCAGTCTTTCAGTCTTCATTGATGAGAAAGTTTCAGATTCTATGAGTGAATATTTTCTTTATCCCTTTTCATGATTGTTGTTACAATTTTTTAGAAATCCCACATGATTACATCGCACAATCTTACCCCATTGTCTCCACCCAGGCAAACTCTCTCCCGCGATAGCTGTCCTTGGTACCTCTGGAGCCCACACCTCATGCAGGTGGAGGTCTCCATCTTCTGTGCCCGTCCTCCCACCCAGACAAAGGGCTATATGTACAGACACAACGAGTCTGCCAAATTTTATTGAGCTACTTTCTCTTCTGGGCAAAATAGTGGGGTGTTAAAAAAAAAAAGGAAATCATGTCTTCAAAATTAGAAACAGCATTTGCTTGCTCCTCATCCTGCTTCCCAGTATCTAGGAGAGGAATTGAAAGCAATGATTACAGACTCTTTAGAGGATCAGAGAAAATGGGTAGCTGCTGTGGAGTGGGTGATGTGGAGTGGGGGCTAGGGAGGCTTAGATCATAAGATTTAACCAGTAACATCTGAGGCAAATGATGACTGAAATACTTTAACTGCATTCCTTGCTGGAGTTTCAGAACCTAGTCAGTTATCTAACCAGCTGTCAGATGTTTCAAGGGTCCACATCTGAGCAAGGTGCAAAGGAGGGTTTAGCAGCAACAAAATTGGCGGTCTTGGCCTCTACATGTCACTGATGATCTAGGCAGAGACCAATCAGAACCTTTGATAGTACAGGCATCACCCTTTATCTGAATCTAGTCTGTTCCTGGAAATATGTTGGCTGGTAAATTTCCAGATGGTAGGAGTCCTTTCTGTTATCTTGTATGAGATGAACAATAAAGCCTTCCCACCTCATCCAAAAAGCCCAAACAGTTTCCCTAAATATCACTAAAACATTCTTAGACATTTATTAGTGTTTAATATCTAATGCACAATGCATGGACTGTTATATATGACAATCCACCAATGATTTCTGCATAATATGAAGCATTTAAAACACCAGTTCTTCAATGCTTAATCAGTGGTTATTCATGTGTGCATAATACAGAGTATGCTTTCCCACCACAGTACAGTGGATATATATTAATGTAAATGAACAATAAAATAAAATGTTAAAGAAATATAACAAGTATAAATAACATTTAGCAAAATAAAATAAGCAAGCAAGACAATTTTTTGAGTGGTTACGTATTGATTAAAGAGTTAATGGAGTGAGATTGGATGGGCTAGAGTGAGGCTATGAAGGACTAAGTGAAGCCATAAATGCCTGAGATTTGCCTGTGGCTAAATCCTGGGACAGTCTTCTCTCCTTGGCTCTTGAGACTCCAGAAGTGTGTGGCTGTGAGCTATCAAATGGGATAAAGTAATGGGATGAAGAAAATAAAAAACTTATGTCTGTTTGCATTTCTTTGCTTCCATTAATACAGCTCTTGACAACATGAGACTGGGCTGTGATTGCATTTCTGAATGTGATGTTTCTGCTCCTGTCACTTGCACCTGCAGTCATTATTTTGTCTGCATCACTTAAATTTATTTTAAAGATTGACATTGAATATTCATTGCTCCTCTTCTTCCTCTGACAAGTGATAAATGTCAAGTTGAGCAAGTTCCACTCTATCAGACAAAAAGTTTTCACTTGATAACGTGGGGCTGATGCACATATGTAATGCATAACACATTGAAGTAGTGTGGTCCTAGGGGAAGGACAGCTGAATTACAACTGCAGCGGTACATCTTATCACTGAGACCCAGACACAGTATAAACATTTTCATTGGTGCCCAAAGGCAGATTATAGTGTTTTCTATTCAGATGGTGAGTTCTGAATAAAATTTTTTGCAAGTTGTAACAGGGAATAGTAAGAGTTCAGATAGCAAGGGGCACCTGTGAATGGTGTTCGCTTGAAGGCAGTGCGGGCTTTGGCATCAGACAATCCTGGATCCATAGCCTGGCTTCCCCATTTATTAGCTTGTATGATCTTGGGTATGGTAGTTAATGAGCCTCAGTTTCCTCAAATGTAAAATAGGGATAATAATACTTAACTTACAATGTTATTATAAGATCATAATATGCATATATGGTGTCTGGCACACAGATGTCCAATTAAAAAAAAACACAGCAACTACTTCTATTAGTCTGTTAGCATGTGGATGTAAACAACAGAAATTTAAAGAAAGAAGTGTATAAAATAAACTGAATACAGCCTCTTTGTTATTGGGATAATAAGAGGAAAATGAGACTAATTACTGTTATGCACAAAAAAACAGAGGGAACATCATGCTTTTAAAAGCAGGACGATTCACTGTAAGTTACATTTTTCTTCTTCATCTTGGCAGCACCTTATAAGAAAGCAACACCAGTCTGTTTAGTGTTTTGCTGAGTGTTTGATGCTGTTAGTGTTAAAGTCCAAAATTAATTTCCCCAGTGCATTCTTCATCCACAGCAGTAATAATTGAATCCTTCTGTAATAGCCGTATCCTGTACACATTACAACAGGCCTAGGCCAAGGGAGGTTTTCAAACACATTTGTGTATACTTTCTGGAGGTCAGGTTGGTCACCACTTGTACAGAGATGTCCCAGGAAAAGCCCTCGTACCCGAGTAGCCTTCAGGGTCTGATACACCTCTCACATTTCCTAGACCAGCATTTCTTGTTCCCTAAGGCTGGGCTTCCTCCCTCATTCTCAGGTGTCTGCTAGTTTTCCTGCCTGTGTCCCAGTCTCCTAAACCTGGTGCATATTCTATGCTCCTGCTCACCTCTAGTCTTTTCTTCTTCAGGGATCCTAGCACCCATCTTTGGTCCAGACCCACTGCCAGAAGTAGTGTCATGGAGGAAAAGAGATTCCATGACCCAGGCTCCCCCAAAGACTGAAATCTCCAAACTCTGCCTCTGAGTCTGGGCCCCCAGATAGACTTCCTGGCATACCACGGAGGTCTAGCCATGTCTGAGCCATCCCAAATGGCTGCTTCTCCAGAACTGGGGGTAGAGGTGGGGAGAATGAAAGCAAGGAAGACCCATCAAGAGGATGGGAGGATCACTCATGTCAGTCAAATGAGGTGGTTAAGAGTGTAGGCTCTGGAGCCAGACTACCTGGGTGTGAACTCCAGCTCTGACCTTTACTAGTTATGTGACCTTGGACAAGTCACTTCATTCTTTTGTTCCTAAGTTTCCTCACCTGTAAAATGGAGGTAGTAACAGTACCTCTCTCATAGGTCCTTAGGAAGATTAAGCAAATTGCTACCTTGATAAAGAGCTCAGAACTGTGCCTTCCACAAGTTAAGTGCTAAATAATTGTCGATGATGGTGGTGACCAAAAGCCTCCAGCAAAGGAATGACACCTAGGCTCCTTAGCATTGGTTTGTGTGATCTTGGGTGAGGTGTTTAATCTAGGCTTGCCTAGTGCGGGCCTGTTTCTCCCTCAGGACACAGGCCTCCTGCACCCTACCCCTGAACACAGCTCTCTATTTCACAAGCCCCCAGATCACTGTGCTGGAAGTTCATGTCTTTGTTACATTCTTTGTTTCTGCTTCCCTCAGCTTAGAGTGCTACTTTCCCACCCGAGCCTCCACATTCTACCTCCCTTACTTTAAGTCTTGTCTCATGAGCCAGCTTCTCTGCAAAACTCAGGAGGCGTGGATCAATTTATCATGGGGTATAAATGTTTGCTTCCTCCCCAGATTCAAGCTGACTGAAGGCAGGGAAATAACCCTCCTATCTTCACCCCCCAGTACTTGGGAGAGTGCCTGGCACATAGTAGGCACTCAAGGTATCAAATGTCTTTCATTCTGCAGGACTGACTGGGCATCGATGTCGTAGACGGGATGATACGTATTTCATAAGGACTTCGTGTAAATCATTTAGCAAAGTGCCTGTCACAGGTGTTAAAGTTATTATATTTATGGCTGTTGTTGCTCTTTTGTTGTAGAGTAGAAAGAGCCCAGGCTTTGGAGCTACTAAACAAACATTGACTTATAGACCAGCTTTGTCACTTAAATGCTGCAGGAACTTCAGTTTCCTCAACTATAAATTGCAGTTATCATACCTATCTTGGCGCAAAAATAAAAAGTAAGCAATCAACAAATAGGTCCCTTCTCTTTCTCCTTTGTGGCTGTCTAATTTTGTGACCTGGCTCAATTCCCTTCACTTCTCTGGCCCAGGTTACTCATCTTTAAAATGAGGACATTCAACTAGATGATCTCCATGTTCCCTGGCAGATCTAAATGTCAAAATTATTGAACTCATCATCTTTTCCCCTTAAATCTACTCATTCTCTGTCCCTGAGAGAGGTTCTTTCCTTGATAACTATTTAATGTTTTGATATATTAAATTGTTTCAATTTTCAGTCTCTCTCGATGTCTATCTCTCTGTGTCTCTCTTGAGACCATAGGGTAGTCCAGATGCAGGGCCTCTGCACGACTCCAGAAACCATTCATACAATAGGACTGTATGTGAGTAGCACCCCAGGAATTGTGCCCTGCAGCAGCCCTCAGTCCTGGATGGATCCCCTTCACAGTGTAGTTTAGTGATGTCTGCGGAGCACGCAGAGGAACAGTCTCCAGCTTTCCTTGGGTCCCGCAAAAAAGAATCTGCATCTAAGAGTGAACAATCGTGGGACCAGCATCACATTCATGGCCTTTCCTTTCCTGTTCTGCCACAGACTTTGCAAATGGGCATCAAACACTTCTCTGGACTCTTCGTGCTGCTGTGCATTGGATTTGGTCTCTCCATCTTGACCACCATTGGTGAGCACATAGTGTACAGGCTGCTGCTCCCACGCATCAAGAACAAATCTAGGCTGCAATACTGGCTCCACACCAGTCAGGTGAGTGCCACAGGCATCTTCCTCCAATATTCCTAAACGTCAGAATTCCCAGTAATGGGAGAATCCGGGGCCCCAAGTCAGACTGACAAATGACAGGCTACCAAGAGAACCAGGGTTGTGTAGACACTCTCAACGTACAAGATGGAGTTCCCTCTATCCCATTAATTCACTTGCCCCTTAAATTAAGCTATCCCATAATGCTCGTGCCTTTCATATAACTGTCCACTGTTGCTCACAGTGGAAGCAATAGCATCGCTTTTAACCTGGCTTCTCTTAGTGACAGTCTGAAGAGATGGTGTGAAAGATTTGTTTCCTATAGACTCTTTTCTTGCCAAAATTGAAACCCATTAAATGAACTCGAAGTCCATTTCCCTTTAGATGAACCTACCAGCCCCTGTTCTCACTGCATTTCAATGGTCCAGAGCTTTGAAGTCCACTGGTGCCAAGGCCAAGCTCATAGGATCAAAGTTCCTTCATGTAATCCAGACACCTACACACTCACTTACAGAGAGAACTGAAAATGTCAGGCAGACCACCATTCAAACGTATTCCTTTGCACATCTCACCCTGATGGAAACTGGCACTGAGAGCCAAAATGTACTCCGAAGGCTTCTTACTGATGAAGGAGCTCTAGCAAAGGCAGCAGTTCCCCCCGGCCCCCGCCCCCCAGCGCGTTGTCCAGCGAGGCCGGAGGGGCAATCCTGACCTCCCGACGACTCCCTCCTACTTCCCAGTGCACTATCTCAGCTTCTCAGTAGTGAGGCTGCCAGGTCTGCCACCTTTGCCCCCTGCATTGTTATGCGGACTCGCTGCTTTGTTAACACAGTACTTTTTTTCTAGATAGGTCACTATCATTGGTTTGGTTACATGTGAACCCTGTTGTTCCCACTTTCATCCTAGGACCTATTTGGTCTCCTAAGGAGGACTCTGCAGACAACCGATCCTCTCCATTGTATGTTACCATGATTAATTTAATTAATCAGGAGTTCTTACCTTCTTTGTTTTGGCTGTTAAGAAGTCAGACTTAAGTTTTTGACTCACCTTTAGCAATTGTGCCAGGCCCTTTGCCATGTGTTGGTTATGATAACTCTTCTTTATATCACATACCTTTTTACAACTCAGAGTATTTCTAAGCTTCCCATCAAATTACTTTTCTTTCCTCCAGGTAGAATAATAACTTATAATTAGAATTTTTGCTCTCTTGAGATTTGGGACTGAATATTGATCTTTTTTCCGGCATCATTGCTAAGTTGTTTAAAGAGGCCTAGGTTTGTAGTGAAGAGATTAAATCTCAGGGGGTACTTTGTCCCCTGGTTGCCTGTTTCTAACAGTCTCTGTGTGTGCATCTGTTCTTTCTGCCAGAGATTACATAGAGCACTAAACACATCATTCGTGGAGGAAAAGCGGCAGCGTTTCAAGACTAAGCGTGTGGAAAAGAGGTAAGAAGAGGCCGGTTCCAGGTGTCATTTATGTTTGTTAAAAGTTTAGAGATGTAACTGAGACTTCATGCTCAAAAGGGAAATTATGTATAATGAATCAAATTGGGACCAAGTTGTTGATAAACACCATCAGTAAAAATACGTGGTCTCAAATAGAAGTAGCACAGACAAAATAAAAAACATCTGTACATAGATGGACACTGAAATGCAGTAGAGGCAATATATGTTGTGGTTTAAGTGCTGGTGTGATCTCTAAGGTCAAGCATCCGGATCCAAATACTGACTCTGACACTTACAATATGTGTGGTCTTGGGCGAGTCCTTTATTTAACTTCACTATGCCCCAATTTCCTCACTCGTGAAAATTAGATAAATAGAGTACCTACTTTCTAGAGATGCTATAAGAATTCAATGAGATAACACATCTAAAGCCCTGAAAACAAAGCTATTTTAGCTATTATTGTGTACAAAATACAAGTTAGACTTAATTCATAAGTACCACAGGCAGTTTCATGCAATATTGCCCCTTTGGCATGTTTCCACTCCCCACTCCTTTCCAGCACTTCTAGGAATATTTGAAATATGCAACAGATGTGTTCTGTTTAACCCATTTCCCGGCACTGTTACTACAAACTCCCCAGAAAAGAGCATCTCATTAATAGGAAGCAACAAGCATTAAATGCATAGTTGACATTTGAAAATTGAAACTCTGCATCTTCCCCACATCCAGCCTGTGGAAGACTGTTGCCTCATTCATGGTGGCTAAAGATGTTAGAAGTATTTGGGTCTAGTACCTGGCTGGCCTCTGTTTCATGCTGCCTAAGACAGCCTCCTGGTTCTTTCTTATGTCCAGAGGCCTCGGTTTACAGCATTTCCTCCAAGCAACTCTGTCATCTATGGCAGATCCTCAGCTCCAAGCTTGGCTTTCTGGGTAATTTTAAAACCTGACACTCACACTTCTTATTCACAATAGAGGACAAGGAAAAGGGGGTGGAAAACATGATTCTTTTTCATTGTTTTTACCTCCTTGGGGACTGCTGCAGTCCCCTTCTCTGCAATTTGCCTCAAGCTTGTCAGAATCATTTCCGTTATCTCTTAAAGCCTCTCTTTCCAGGCAGGGAGCACACCCCCCTCTCCCTCAGGGTCTGTGGTGTTCCTGTATCGCACTGCAGCCCCATCAGCAACAAGCTGCCGACCAATCAGGTCACAGCTGTTCTACGTCGTGTTACATATATTTTTTTTCTATAATTATTTTTAACATAAATTTTTAATGAGAGAGGAACACAAGAAGACATAGCAGCAAAGACACCATCTCATAATAACAATGCATTTGTTTTCCAGCCATGATAGAAACAGGGAGCTTCCAGTGATCGCATTTCCAACTGTGAGATGACTCCTATTCGCATTTCTCTCACCTAAATTCAGAACCAAATGCATCTTTCACTCAGCTTATCCATTTTTGTTGGCAGATTCCCTTCTGAAATCCCTTATTTTGAGAAGGAGCTAAGGCAACACACCCTCATGGCTTATTGGGCCCATGTTTCCTGTGGTACCTCCCTACAACCCAATACCCACCTATAACCTTTCAAACGCAGTGAGTGTTTGAGGGCTCACAGCTGTCACAACTCTTCTGAATGGTCTAGTGGAGTATTGAACCTCAGCATTACAAAATTGTCCTGTGAAAGCTTTTTAGTGTTAAATTCAGTTAACTCACTGGTCGCCTTACACTGAGGAAAGCTTGCAAACCACAATCAAAACACTCTAGAGGCCAACAATATAACACGTTCATTTCTTCCAATTAGACACCATATCTGGCATTCAGCACCTATCACCTTGCATCCATAGGTGGCTCAGAGCCGCATGTCAATCATCAGAGCACTTGTGATGCTGCCACCTAGAGTATGTCATGGAAGCCAGCTTTTGCTTATTCTTCTATATTATATTCCCAGATATATGTACAAAGCTCTGGAGAAAACCAGATTGGCTAATTCTATTTGCCTGATTTCTGAGGTTGCCTGGACATTCCAGGAAAATGTGTTGATGCCTAACTCCCAGGTTTTCCCCACTATGAATCATTCCATGATCCTAGAGTTAGGTCCGTTGGCTCAAAAACTCTCTCCCTCTTTTTTCTTTGGAAGAATATCTATGCAAATACCTTTATCTGCCGCAACTTGACATCCCTCCCCTATGTTTCTTATTTATTGAGTGAATAAAATAATAGATAAATGAATGAATTACTAACATATGGGTTTGAGGAAAGGCCTGGGGAAATTATGGGCCATGGTATGAAAAGACTTTGCTCCTTTTTTCTTTAAATCAGAGGAAAAAGGTAGATATTGCAAAAGACTATATATATAGTCCTTAGTTTATTCAACATGTGATTTCATGTAAATTTTGGTCTGTCCTTCACTCCACTGGGTTTCCAATACACCTCCTCTTTTCTCTTTCCTCTCACCTCAAGATATACAAAAATTGTAAACCATATATATATATATACAAATAACACATGCCACAAACAAGATTGCTTTGAAATTATTCAAACTCAATAGTAAAAGATTTGAAGGAAGAATTAAGGCTAGAAGGAAAGGCTAGAAGGAAAATTATATCCACACCTTTGACCCAGTGTAAAGACAATGGAGCTGTAAGTGAGCTTATTATAGAACTTTTACCCAGCCCAGGGCACAGGAAAGCTGGGCTGTGGTACTCCCTGCTCATTTATATGGGTCTTAAACCACGAGAAATGTTAAAGAACTGCAGAGTGGTTTGGAATGTGTTTGTGTGTTTTAATGGCTCGGAGCACGTATCGATCAGTTTTTGCTGTGTGAGAAATCATCTCAGTTCATAATGTTTTAAACAACAGCTAGTTGCTTATGAATCTATGTGTCAGCTGTGCAGGCTACTGATTTCGGCCAAACTTGGCTGATCGTGGTCACATTTGCTCCTGTGTCTACAGCCAGCTTGGAGAAAGGAGGGAGAAGCAGAGGCTGGCTGGTCTAGGATGGCCTCAGCTGGTCAACCGGGAAGACTGGGGACTCTCTCCGATGGTCTGTTATCAACCACCCGACTAGTCTGGACTGGTTCCACTGTAGCAGTAGGGTTCTGAGAGAGGCAGTGGAAGTGTGCAAGACTCGGAACCACCACCTGCCACTTCTGCCACTTTCTATCGGCCAGAACAAGTCATGAGACCAGGCCAAATTCAAGGGGGAGGGAAAGAAGACTTTCCCCTGGAATCCCCCTTGATAAGGGTGAGTTGCTAAGTCACACTGCAGAGGGATATGGATGAAAGGAAGAAGGAAGGATTAGGACCACTTTTGCAATGCACACAGGGCAAAATGAAACAGGATCACCCTAGTTAAGTCCTTGTGTTTTTGTTCTTATCCATGTAACTGAATCAACACTTAATTATCTCTCCCTTTTCCCCTCCCCTGCAGGTCCTTCCCTTCTCCTCCTGGTTAGTAAGAGTCCAGGAATAAATTCTTGATTCAGTTTCGTAGCCATGAACTGTTTCAAGTCAGTGCGGCTTTCTGAGCCTCACTGGCAGGAAGAGAATAGAAAAGCATCTAAGGTTCTTCATAAAAGAATGTGCCATACCCTGGCCCATCAGCCCTCCAGGTGCAACACCCATTCCGGTTTCAGGACAGCATGAGACTTGATGAATCACTGAACATCAGTTGAAAAGAATTACATTGGCTCCTTTTATTCCCCTGACACTCCAGCAGGCAGTCTGTCCATGGTTTTGTGACTCCATCTCTATCTGCGTACCCAGTTCCGTATTACTCACAAGGAAGTAGCTAAAAGATGGGGAGAGCTGCAGAGTAGAAAGTCAATCTAAAGTGTCTCTTGGTTTCCTAGGTCCAATGTGGGACGCTGTCAGCTCACTGTGTGGAATACGTCCAATCTGCGTCATGACAATCGACGAAAATACATCTTCAGTGATGAGGGGGGACAAAACCAGCTGAGCCTCCGGACCCACCAAGACATCCCTCTCCCACCAAGAAGAGGAGAGCTTCCTGCCTCGCTGACCACCAATGGGAAAGCAGACTCCCTAAATGGGGCTCGGAACTCAGTGATGCAGGAGCTCTCAGAGCTGGAGAAGCAGATTCAGGTGATCCAGCAAGAGCTGCAGCTGGCTGTGAGCAGGAAAACGGAGCTGGAAGAGTACCAAAGGACAAATCGGACTTGTGAGCCCTAAGTGGCCACGCTGCTCTTTTCTCAGTTCCTGGCCTTCTTCTGAGCCCTTAAGACACTTTGTAATGCTCTTTTGTAACTACTGACCAAGGTGGGGGGAAGCTGAGGTCTGGGTCTTCTTAGAGGTCAAGTCTGCTCTCCCTAGCCTGCAAAGCAGCAGCCAGCCTTCTCAAGCTCATTCCTAGGTCTCCAGGGTAGGAGTCTTCCTCAGAGCAGGAATCTTACATTAGTCAGAAGTAAACACCGTGTGAGGGATCTGTGAATAACCAGACAACCCCAGCTCCTGTTAATCTTTTCACCTGGTGCCACAGTAACATTTCTGGTTTTTAGCCCTTTCTCTGCACTATCAACAAGAGATAAAATTGTTACTCATACCTGTGTCTTACTGGGTTGTTGGTTTTAATCTTAGTATAGAGCGGGATTATTCAGGGTTGTGACTTTTGCTATAACTCCCCAGTGTAGATTTGTTCCTACAGTCTGAATGGGGAGCCAGGGAAGAGCTAGAGAAACTTAGGACAGGAAGGTGGGTACTTAGAAAACTTAACTGAACTCATTCACATCATAGCAGGCCAAGGATTGATTGGATCAGGCAAGAGCCATGTTTTTGAAAGGGTCCTGGATCTCCAACATCATCCTGACTAACATTTGGTAGGAACATGTTTACACGCCACTATGAAAGGGAACAGGGATGTGGTGAGCAGAAAGAGCACAGGCAGAAGAGGCATTAAAATGTATACCATGCTTTTCAAACGAAAGCTCTGCGCCAGAAAAGTAATTTCGCTAAGGAATGAATAGGCCCGTACTTCTAATCTAATTAAGCATCTCCACTATAGTGCGTGCCTTTCAGAAAGGAAAGTGAGAAAAGCAAGGCAAGGATGTGGCCTTAGGATGAAACTGGGACATTCCTGCTAATTGCCTGCACAGGACATGTGAGCTGGCACTGTGAGTTAAGGGAAGGTGTTCTGCAATCCATATATTTGGCTATTTTCAGATCAACAGTCACCTGTGTCTTAGCTATAGGAATCCCAGAAGTGAACTTCAAGCCTGTGAACACCACAAGCTTAAACATTCAGGAATGTGCCCTGTGCTTTTCATATCTCTATGGATCACTAGCAAGTCAGTCTTGCAGCCTCACACCCCCTCATCTGTGAGAAACTGTGAACAGGCACTGGTCCCTCTGATTCTCCCCCAAACCCCATCTAATGCCCCCAAGAGATTGATATGAGTAAGCCGTTTCCCCTCTGCCTAGGCATCCCTTTTCCAGTGTGCAAAGGCTTGGACACGCAGAAAGGGAAAGGAATACGTGAACTACAGAACTTCAGTTCTCAGTCACCTAGGAACTCATTAGGATGCTGACTGCATGAGATGGGAAAGGGGGTGGATGTGGGCTCAGAAAACTGTTACCAACACTCCCAGGTGACTGACATGCGGCCTAAAAATTACTCTTCAAGAAACATTGTTCTAGAAATTTGTCTGCTCCAGGCATGGGGAGAATTGAGAAGAGCCTTTTTGAGAGTTTCTCAAAAGGCTTCAGCACACACCTGATGATTCACGGTCCACACAGCCACGCCCACCCCAGGACACCATGTAGGACTAGACTTCCTTGTCTATCAATTACTTGCTTTATCTTCTCAGTTGCTTATCATCTTCTTTGCTCCACCCCAGTCAGTTTGAAGGCCTACAAAGAGTTCTCAGCACCGTGCCAAGCACCGTGCTCTGTAAGCTGCAGATCATTGGGAAGGCTCCTCAATCACAAAATTTCTTCCCCTACTTTTGGATGCAGTCCCTGCATTTCCACCAAGAGCTGCCCAGTCCCCCAAGGAAAGATAACACTTTAAGCTGCAATTAGATAAGACTCCAGCAATTAGCTGTCTGAGAAAACCCTGGGGTGGATACAGGCTTAGAGATTCTGATGAGGGAGGTGGACGGGTTCTAAAGTTAGACTTCATCAACCTCACAGATGAAACAGTTCAATAATGAGGGAACAGTGATCCCTGGAAACAGAAAGGACAGCTCTGCTTTGAAATGCCCATCCTCCCATGTTCTCACCCCAGACAAAAAAGTAGGTTTGCAACTGCCTTTGGAAGATTATGCCCCTTAGCCATCCCCACCCATCTGCAACAACTAAGGATGCTCTAGAGACTCTGCCATCATGCTCTGCACCCCTAACCTCTGCGCAGCCTGGAAGGCTGACGTATAGGTGTACCTCAACTCACGTAACAGCCATGCTCCTAATGCTGTACCTGGACATTTTTTATAACTCAGCTCAGATTCTGACTGTACTTGAGAAGTTGGCTATTTAAAGGAACCCAGAGGTGAATTCTTTTGTAAAGAATCCTTTTGTAATGCAATTAATTATCCCGTAATGTATTTGTTTTGTAAGTTTGCATTTTTGTATATCAGGTTTACCTTAAGCTTCTCTACTGAGGCATTCTGAGCAGTGGTGGTAACATGCCAGATCACCCTGCCTATCCACAAACATGTAGATGACCAGGGCATGGCTCCTCGAATATCTTCTGAGGAACTACTTGGCCAAAACTGCGGCCAGGAGGTGGCCAGAAGCAGCAGGAGCTGAAAGCAGGCTTACTGCCGTCAGCATTGCTTGAAATGCCCCCATGTTCTGGACAAAGAAAAACAAAGCATAATCGCTTGTGTTGAAATGATGCAGTCTTCATGTTAAGTAGGAATGGTAATTGAACAGTGTTTTGCAATTTGTGAAACAGTGTGTTGTGTTTTGTAAAAAGATTTCATGAAATGGTGGGTCCTTTGAAAACCTTTCCTGTTCTGCTCCACCTCTGTTCTCTCAACTCCCCTCAGGCTCAAGAAACACAAGGATCAGAGAAGTCTTCAGGTGGAGGGTGGTTTTCTGGTAAAGAAGGAGATAAGCGATGCTATCTTGCCTCCTATTGTGGGCTTCTCTTCCATGAGATCAGGAAGACCTCCATTTTTTTTTTTTATTATTTTTATTTTTGGCTGTGTTGGGTCTTCATTGCTGTGCGTGGGCTTTCTCTAGTTGCGGCGAGTGGGAGCTACCCTTCGTTGCGGTGCACCGGCTTGTCATTGTGGTGGCTTCTCTTGTTGTGGAGCACGGGCTCTAGGCGCACGGACTTCAGTAGTTGTGGCTCATGGGCTCAGTATTTGTGGCTCGTGAGCTCTAGAGCGCAGGCTCAGTAGTTGTGGCGCACGGCCTTAGTTGCTCCGCGGGATGTGGGATCTTCCTGGACCCGGGCTCGAACCCATGTCCCCTGCATTAGCAGGCGGATTCTTAACCACTGAGCCACAGTGCTGAAAAAAGACCTCCATTTTTTTCCAAGCTCTGATGCTAGGAAATGAGGCGCACGACAAGTCCACTATCACACTCCCCAACCCTGTTTTCCAAGGGGGAATTCCTGGCACAGGAAGCATATAATAAAGTAGGACTGGGCAAGTTGGAACAGATAGGGCTATTGGTTCATGTAAATAATGAAAATAAGGGCCCCAGAGTGTGGATGCCCAAGGTGGAGGAGCAGGGGGATCCCTCCAACAATTGAAGACAAGCTGGAAGAATGACTGGGACAGACAAGTGAGAAGCCACAATCATTCGAGGTCTTTAAGGTGCCTGGAGGTGACTTTCCATTATCCACGGATCTTGCTGTTGCACAAACCTTATATGGGAGCTGCTGCTTCTGTGCCAACCAGATAAGCCGTAAGTGGAGCAACTGCTGAGCAGGACAGAGCTATGTCATCTGGGCAACAGACTTCTCAGTGATGGTGCTGGGTCTGTTAGAGCCTTGGAGCTAGTGATCACTTCCTCGGTATGGATAAAGACTTAAGGGGAAAGAAACCATTAGCCTCTCTTCCTCCCAACTCATATATTTGATAGGCAAACCAGAAAATCCATCCAGTCTTCAGAAGGAACTGCTTTCTAGTCATCAAATCCACTTCACTCTGCAGTGTTCACTTATTCCTTTCTTCACCCACCCACACCCATCTAATCCAGGATTCCCTCATTCTTTAAGTTTAGTTCCTAATCGTTTTATGAAAATAACGTACCTGTAAGTATTTTCTTAAGGTTTGTAAAGTGTTTGCATTGTGTCTTCACTTTAATGTGTTTGCTATTGCTCCGTTCCAGGAAGAACTGAAACGCTGTCTTGTGAGCATGAGGTGAACAGGCTGTTTTGCTCCAGCCACTTTTCTTGTACAACCACGTGATGGACTAGATGTCCTCAGGCCTTTTCCATTTTCAGTTTCTATGACTGTGGAATAAATGTTGAGATAAAAACTTCACTTCCAGGTGTACTGCTGGCATTGTCTTTGGGGACTCAAATGTTGACATGATACCAGCCCCTTCCTAACAGGAGACCCAGTGATGCTGTGACTTATGCTTACTTCTTTGGTATAGTCCAAAAGTGACACAAAACGTGCTAAGCAAACTCAGAGCCCTGGCATCATGCAGTTAAACTGAAATAGCTTCGTCTGAGACATTCTAGGAAAAGCCACACTATTGAGAGATCTCTAAAAAACTCTGCTCCCATCACCTCATTTAGTAATTCAACAAACATTTGTTAAAGAATTTATATTTATGTGCCAAGTGCTGGAGACCATCATAAGATGGGCATGGTCTTTAACCTCAAGGACCTTCTCGTCTGTCCTTTTCACAACCTGTAAACTGATACTACTATATATAATAGCTGACACTTATTGAGCACCTATTTTAGTAACTGTGATCTCATTTAATCTCCATTAAAATTCTGTGAGATTGGTACTCTAGACCTAGTCTAGAGTAGATAAGCTGGACCTCTAGTTTATAGATGGAAAGACTAAGGGTCAGGGAATTATGTGAGCTGCCCACAGTCCCACAGCTAATAAGAGTAGTGGCAGAGATTCATACGCAAGCAGTGCAATTCCAGAACAACCATACTATGTTGTCAGAATACTGATTTCCTTACAACTTCCCCTTCTTCCTCTAACCCTTCCCCTCTCTAGTCTTTCTGCCATACTGCCTCCTGCCCATGCCTCAGCCTGGTCCCCAGCTCCACAGAAAGCTCACGTGGTAACTGCACCTGCCATGGTCCACTGAACTCCACACTGCAGCCCTTGAGTAGCACAGAAATACTGTTTCAGGCATCTTTTTGCTTTCTAGTCCAACCAAGAACTGGTGCAAACACAGCTGCAAATCACTCAGCAGTCCTGCAGTCTCAGGCGTTTTGCAATTAGCTGCTGGAAAATTTGCTGTCATGAATCTGCTAGCTGGATGGATGCATTCTTCCCACACAATCTTTTGGCATATACCCAAATCAAATACTACAAAAATATAGACCTACTGTATAACCTAGTTCAACCACCAACTTACCAAAGTCTGTTGAGCATCATTAAGTCATTCATTTTTTAGATGCTTATTCTGAGCCAGGCATTGGGCTGGCTGCTGGAGATAGAAAGACATAAAGCAGATTCTGATCCCATGGAGCTCAGTCTAGTGGGGAGACACAAACTGGGAAAAAAATGTGGCGTGTACTCTGATAAAGAAATGCACATCAGGTACTACGGGAGCAAAGAAGACACTTTTTCCCTTTTTCCTCTGTGTGTGTGTGTGTGTGTGTGTGTGTGCGCGCGCGCGCACGCGTGTGTGTGTGTAGTGTGCAGTGGAGAAATCGAGTGGAGGGTAATAGGCATCCCAGGTTAAAAAAAAAAAAACCAGCACGTGCAGTTCTGGAGTTGGGAAACTATGGCAATCAAGGCACTTAGGAACATCAAATAGTACAATATGACAGAAACATAAAGCACAAGGTGGGTAGCAAGCTATCAGGCCTGGAAAGAGAAAAGCAGAGACAAGATCACTGCTAAATTGGATTTGTATCCCAAAGACTACAGGAACCATTCAAGAATTTTAAGCTGAAAATGGATTTGTGAAAAGATCGGGATCCTCACCACTAGGTGGACCTGGCTGTCATTCACATGCATTTGTTTGTAGGGCAGTGAGCAAATGAAGTTAACCTTTTGATGTTCTGGAATGACTTGGCCGTGGCATCATTTAACAGGGACAGGTGGACTTAGAGACAGACAGACACAGATAAACACACATGGCCTAGATTCCAAAGAAAATGTCAGTCTTGTTTTTCCTAGAAAGAAAATGTAGAAGAAAGAAAAATTGACCTCTCAATTTCTTTATTTGCAAAATGCTGTCTTGAGCATTTACTAGGTGTAAGCACTGGGCTAAATGTTTTGTTTATATTGTCTCAATTCATCCTCAAAACAATCCTACAAAGTATTTATTATTTTATAGATGAAGAATCTGAAACAGAGAGAGCTGAAGTAACTTGCTAAGCAGCTGGGCCATACTCACCCAAGTCTGACTTCATGAGAAATAGGTTTAGCATAGTGCCTGGAATCACAATAAGCACTCCACAAATGCATAAACGGGTTGGGTGAGCAAGGAGAAATCTAAGATCCTTTTGGTTCAATTCTACGCTAGAACAAAACGCTATGGGAACTCTCATTAAACAAGGGAATAAAACATAGTCCTAGGGACTTCCCTGGTGGTGCAGTGGATAAGACTCCATGCTCCCAATGCAGGGGACCCGAGTTTGATTCCTGGTCAGGGAACTAGATCCCACATGTATGCCGCAACCAAGAACCCTCATGCCACAACTAAGACCCGACACAGACAAATAAATAAATAAATAATTTTTTTTTTAAAAAAAGAACAAACCAAGAAATCCCACTGTAAATTCATATGAGAATGCAATCGCTAGCAGAAACAGCCAAAGACCTTTGAAAAAGATCCCTAGAGTAGGTAAGAAGGTAAGAGCCGAGCCATGCAGTTAAGATATATGCCTTAGAGCACATCAACCCTGATTGTGGTCCAAATGGCCAAGATAATTTCCAAGGTAACAACTAAAGAAAAAAGAATAAGAGACCATCTCTACAAGACCTGAAATGTTAAAAAAAAAAAAAGAGAGAGAGAGACTCTAGTACTTCTACAATAATCTTTGAAACTGGCATTTATAGGCATTACTTTAAAGAAATCCTCAAAAAAATCTCTTATGGATCTAGGGCAGTGATTCTTAACTTTTTTGGTATTTGTTAAGTTTCAAAATTCCTTTAAGAAATTTTGATTCTTTAAGGATCTGAAAAAAGCTATGACTAATGTACACACACACAAACAAAATTTCATATACCATTTGTGGGTATTCCTGAAGCCCATTCATTGACCTCTTCTCTAATGAGAAGCCGGAGTGCACCAAGTCACCACCGTTTTTGGTCGTTATCTAAAAATGACTTTAAGAGCTCCTCCTGTATTGCCTGGACCTGAAGCTAGTTGGGACTAGGGGCTCCCTGCTCTCTCCAGCTAGAGGAACTTCCCCTAAATCCAGCTTCCCATTGGACTCCTGGTTCCTTCCACAACATTCCACAGGCTCCAGGGTCCCCTGATGCTGGGCAGCTGGCTTTCCTAGCCAAGTGTCATAAACAATTAATATCCAAACCCAAACCACTAGCTGCCCAAATAGTCTGTTTGCCCTCACAAGTTTCCTTATAAGACGAGAACAGTAAGGGGAAAGTGCCCTATTAATGAATGCAAAGGCACCGTGTACCCTGAAGCAGGGCCAGACCCCCTTATGGCTGTGTGTGTGTGTTGGGTAGGGGGGTGAGGGGATCGAGAGGCCCGTGACCTCTTTGATGACACTGTAAGGTTTCTCAGTTAGACTCATTTATTAACCCATTCCACATGACTCTGTAGAACCCATCACAAGTCCTTCCAATTACAGGTAGTGACCACAAAAGGACATGCAATTTGTCCTTACCCATTCTTCTAGGACAGGTAGTAATCAAGAAGGGATCCATTTTACACAACCCCTTACCAGAGATATAGAAAACCTCTGGTTTTCTGGTTACTATAAATCTTATACCTCAAGAACTCTAAAACTAAAGTGCCAGGCAGTCTGATACCCTCTGGAAAACAAATCACAATCTCTTACCCCCATAGCGAACTATGAGAGAGAAATAAATAGTCAAATAAACCATTA